GGGCACCAGGAACTAGCAAGTATACTCTTCACTTTACAGACCATAAGCCTAAAGGAAGCAGAAGGGTCCTCTTACCTGAGATTAAACAATGCTTTCAATAGTCTCTGGAGTTTGGATATATAGTTGATGTTTGTCAACGGATATTTGTATCCCAATTATAACAGAAAGGATCACCAAGTTATCTTTTAGAGTATAAAATTACTCACTTTTCTATTGTGATTTAGGTGTTTGTACATGTAATGAAACACACACACAAACAAAAGGCCTGGAAAGCGCCATACAACAGATGCTTTCGTAAGGGAAGTGGAAAATTTTTTAAAAAACATTTACTCTTTTCTGAATAGTTACCCAATATGGATTTAGTCTGCTGAAGTCAAAGGGCAGATGAAGTGAAGTTACTAAGATGATTTGCCTCTGAATCAAACCCCTATATCTTGGGAACAGAGCAGGTGCTTTGCTGCCAGTGAGGAGGTACACACAGAGTGGACTTTACCAGTCAATTCTGCTACCTGGGTAGAAAAGCGGCACCCCAGAGCCCCTCAGATATCATAAAAATTCCTCTTCCCTGGTGCTGAAAGTCTCAATCATTTCACTGCATCTGCTTTGCAAAGTCTATGTGGAAATGTTCACAAGAAGTCTGAATAAAAATTAGAGACCATTTCACATAAGTATGGTATTAAAAATTTAGCTCTAGTACTCCTCCTGAGGAAGTGACAAATTCAAGCAAATGACTTTGTTATCACTTCTGGGCTTCATCACGTTAAAGAGAAAACTTGTTTCTAAAAATATGACAACTCATGTCACTTTATTGCTGTGTCTAAGCAATTGGAGTTAATTTATGATTTTCTATATCATCTAAGACAAACAAATCAAAAATTCCACTTAAAGTAGTTATTGCAGAAATATACTGTGTTAGGCTCCAGGTAAGCTTCTGCTGATTTTAAGTGTCTTTCCTAAGTGAATAGTACACAAGTACTTTTCACCGAAGGTAACTGAGAAAGTGTTTGATTTGACATAAAGAAGAAGACACACTTTCTTCTATTTTGTTAGACAATACGCTTTGTGATTCACAGGATAACTTGCATCAGACACAATTTAATGAAAGCTCTCAAATAAGCAATTTTATTCCTATCCATGATTGCAGACATTTACAAAACCATAACATCTGAGTTCACCTTAAAAAATAACTTATATAAAGCAGTGATATACACAGCACAAAATAGTTCAGGGAGGGGCAGGAGCAACTTTTAATAATTAAAATGTAAACGTGAAAAAAAGGATGGAATAAAAGTCCCTACTTACTTCTACTTAATATGTCATGTGATATTTTACAATGTCCTGTGGGTCAATGCATGTATGTGCATATGTCCATATAACATACACATATACAATACATTCTCTTTCCCACACATATACATACACAGATAAGTAGTTGCAGTTCAGTTTGGGGCAATTCTAATATGCCACTCCGTACAGTTGTTTGAATCACGTTTGGATCCGCTTTCTTCACAAAACAGGGGAGAGAGCAGGAAATAAAAAGGTTGGTTTGGTATGACTGAGATTCCTTTGTTTAACTGTACATTGTGATGGATAATTTTCTTCCGTAGTAGTTCTGTGAAGGGCTGACTCACTGTGGTTTCCATGAGGAGACTTGGTAATGGATCACACACTCATTGTCATGCTAGGGGAGTACTGGAAGGAAAGAAGAATCCATATTTTAACAACAATTCTTTTACAGACCACTAAGGTTCTTCTTGGTGTAACAACAGTGACTGTGAATTTTAATTTCCTATAATCTTTTATGCTCAAGCTTTTAATCTCATACACCATAAAACTAAGAAACTATAAGAAGAGTTAATTTATATAGACTTGACTTAGTGCTGAAATTTTCAGTATTTCCTCTGGAAATCAACCAGTCCCATTTTTTCCCTAGACCTGTTATTACCTACCCACCACCACCCATTGCCATCAAGTTGATTC